ATTTCATTTTGAACCATTATATATTGAAAAAAAATAAGGTAAAAATATGACAAAAATGGAATTTGGATTGACACTCTGACACCGACATTGACACTTCAACAATAACATCAAACATGTGACATCTACTTCTAAATATTCATAGGTGTGAAAGAATAATTATTTATCAGGCCGAAAGTGAATTCTCTAGGCCAAAAGTGACAGGAGAACTGTCACTTTCGGCCTGCTTCAAAGTAAACAAAAATAAATTGACATTTTCGAACCTTCAAACCAGTAAGGAATATGGAAATTACATATAATGGTTTAAAATAATAGTACAATAAAATACAAGTTATACAAGGAATATTTTATACTATTTTTTCTATTTTGGTATTGTTCAATTAAAAAAAAACAATTTTTCTTGGAAATTTTATTCTCATATTTCCTGATTTCATATGTTTAGGTTGGTAACACTACATGCCAAATATTAATTACTGGCGATTTCCATTTGTCAATCAGTGCGCATTGAGTATATCCGCATCTTTTTCTAAAAGCATGTAACATGTAAGGATAAGGATACATTTTTTTTGCACTAGTTCGACAAATGGAAAACGCTATTAATCTTCTATGAAATCGCGCATGACAGTTCGATGGCCATCAGTCCACCAGTGTCACCAACTTCCGATAAGTGAAAAAGGAGTGTCACATAGAGCTTCTTTTCGAAACTACTTTTAGTTTAGTATTTTATACTATTTTTTCTATTTTGGTATTGTTTAATTAAAAAAAAACAAATTTCTCTTGGAAATTTTATTCTTATATTTCCTGATTTCATATGTTTAGGTTGGTAACACTACATGCCAAATATAGAATTAAATCTTCTATCAGCTATTTCCATTTGTAGAATAAGTATAAAAAAAATATATCCCTATCCTTATATTTTACATGCTTTTAGAAAAAGACGCGGATACACTCAGTGCGCATTGATTGACAAATGGAAATCGCCATATAAACTCACGAATGACAGTTCGATGGCCATCAGTCAGCCAGCGTTACCAACTTCCGATAAGTAAAAAAGGAGTGTCTTCTTTTCGAAACTACTTTTAGTGTCGAAAAGACGAAGTAGATGTCACATGTGTTTATATTGTTGAAATTTTGTAAGATGTCAATGTCGGTGTCAGACTGTCAGACAAAATGCCATTTTTGTCATGTTTTTACCTTATTTCATTCAATAATTAATGATTAAAAATAAAATAGTATACATAATTCGGTGGAAAGTTTTCATATTATTGTCTTGAGAATGGTTGACCTCGGCACTTCGCACCTCGGTCAACTATTTTAAGTCCTAAGCAAATGGAAATCTTATATATTATGTATCGAGTGCAAAGTCATTTGACACACGGTATTCTTGACTGGGGAGGTGTTTCCGAAACCCATTTGCAAAGATCATATTTGGAAAAGATAGAACATATTATTATCTAACTAACTATATTTACACTAAAAGTAATCCCCAGAATTTTCATAAGGTCTATTATCTGGAATTTCTTAAAAATATCAAAAAAAAGGAAAAATTACTTCAATTATTATGCAATAGGCAACACCTTAGTATATTGAAGCTTTGTTTTGATTCGAAATTTGGAATACTGTTCTGAGTTCGCGCAGAAATGCTTGCAAACGAAAAATAATAGAGAACTGCTCTAACTTATTCAGAACCAAAACGAGCCGCAAAACATAAAATTCCAAAACAGTTCCTCCAGAACAAGAACTGGGAGAACTGTTCTAGATTAATCCTAGCATTATTCTTATATAACTATAAATGAATCAAAATCAACACACTTCGATTACGATTCTGAAAAAACGAAAATACGCATGTGCAGAATCATTTCGAACTATCCAAATTTCACCGATAAATTGACCGGTAGCTCTCAAAAAATTCCGGTAAAAATTAGGTGTAAGTCCGATTACAAGATTTTTCTGGTGCATTTTGGAACACTTTGGTGCTGTTAAAGTTTGGTTGTGACCATTGGTTGTGACGGTTATGTGTCAACAATTTACCGAACGACTGCCGATAATGCTCATTCAAAGCCATTAATGTACGTCAAAAAAGTGTCAAAAAATCTCCAACCGAGAAAACCGGCAAAAATTCCCGGTGGATCCGGTGGCACACCGGTTTCAAACAGTTGATCATTCCGGTCAATTTTGGAACTGATGATCTGCTTCAAACGGTAAACAGTTGGAACTGTTCGGTGAGTAAACTATTAAACCGGTATCATCGGTTCAAAAACTAGTGAATTTTGAAAAGTGCCCTATGTAGTTCGGAGTGAACCCAAAACAAATATTTGATGAACCCATAAAACTCATGGCCGGAGAAGTATATAAAGGTTGTATAATGTGCTTCCAAATGACATAAAATTCCAGGAATCTTTAAAAATAAGAGCTAAAACCTGAATATTTTTGAAAAATGAAAATCGGGCTTTTAATAATTTGATTGATGTGAAATACAGCAAATGAATGTTTTTGGTTCAAAGTTAACATTTTTTACTCGGAATCGACTCAAAACCTGGTATATAATGGATTAAGGAACAGTTTATCGGTGGACGGTTATTCAGTTTAACTGTCGGTTAACCTTTAATGAATATAGGTTAACCGACAGCTAAATTAACTGTCCACTGATAAACTTTTTAAAAAATCAAATTTTGACATATTTCCGGCTATGAGTGAGTTAACTAGGAAGGTAATATAAAATTATATACTTAGCATCTAAGGTAGGTAATAAAAATCTCCCTGGCCCTAATTTTATGGCCGGTTTTATTAAGGAGGTGTTAAGCCTTATAACCACAAGATCTTTAAGGTTTGTTCTCTTGTTTACTAGTCACAGTAGTTCTATTAAGCCCTATATACACACAGCGACTTTATCATTGTAACAACCCCTCGATTATCGTGAAAATGATTCGAATAATTTCGACAAAAAGAGTGCACTTTTTATTTTGTCTCGAACTTTCGAGCTTGGCGTCGCGACGCCTAGGCATCGGGATCCGTCGGTAGACCCTCGGAAAAAAAGGACAAAAAAAAAAAACAGAAGAAGAGGAAAGTCGAATGCCGCGCCTCCTCCTCCTCCTTCTAGCGCCATGTCGCGGGGACGCGCCACCGACGTCGCGCAGCGCACGCGCTCGAGGTCACCATGGCTGCGAGGCGGGAATGCGGCCGTTACCATGACGACGTGTCCCCCCCAAAAACCAGAGTTAGCAGCGACTCCCCTCGAGAGTCTATCGGGGGGGAACGAAAAAGGCTCGTGTACGTTTTGCGGTCGCAGACCGGCAGACGAAAAGCAGAAATCATCGAAGTTAGTTGTTGTTGTTGTTGTAGGGTGTCGCCTGTGGAATTTAATCATTCAAACGTTCAGGCTGTTGCAATGAAATAATGATTGTTTGGGTTTGATGTAAAATGTTTAGAATATGCCATTTTGGGGGTTCGGAATTCATGATGCGTTTATAAGTTTTCCAGGTTTCGGCAGCCAGGAGAAGGTAAATTTGAGTATCAATCACAATGGCAAGTTTATGACCAAAAGATATCATATTATATAACTCGTTTTTTTTGGAAATTTGACTAATTTTTCTGGAATGTTCTCTCTGTCATTTCAGATCAGTAGTCGTATTGCATTATCATAGATGTCTCAACAAAATCATCTTGTATTTTGTCAATTGAGTCCCAATTTAGACTTGATTCGTAATATTGCTGTGAAAGATAAGGTGTTCTCAAAGTTTGGAAATGGGAACAAGTTGTGAGACATTTTGTCAAAAGGTTTTCTCAAAATCCAAAAACACATCAACATGTTTACCAAGATCAAAGCTTTCTGGTCCAGTTTCCAAACATTTTGTGACCATTTGTTAAAGTTGATCTTGGAAGAAAATTGTGTTTATTCCTTGGGTTTCCAGTAAACATGGTATTATACACTGGCTTTATTCCAGTACGTTTGAATCTCTGTTTAAATATGTATGTAATATGAAAACAATATTTTTTACTATTGGCATTTTCCATAAATCTGGCAAAGTTCCACCAATCAGAAATTCTTTCATCATGATGTGTTGAAAATTTTAAAATATTTTGTTAGATTTACAATCAAATAGCCATAGTATACCAGGGTGTAAAAAAATAGTGTACCGGACTTCGAGGGGTGATACTACATATGAAAATTAGAAAAAAAGTTCATATGAACATATGTCCTAAGATGGTCTCTAAAGAAGTTACAGCCCTTCGAACAGTAGATGAAAATAATAGATTTTATTTATTTTCAAGAACAGTAGTAAATTATTTTCCTTGAAATTTGGTATTCTTGCATACATTTTGATGCCAAAGCGAATGGTGATATTTCTTATTTTCATATGTGGTATCACCTCTCGAAGTCCGGTACACTATCTTTTTTACACCTTGTATAAGTATGTAGTTGATTAATAAGGTGTGACATTCAGGCCTATGATGTATCATTTTTTGTTATTTTAACAGCAACATTAAGTTATCTGTCTATGTTTATTCTACACCTAAAAATAGAGACAGGTAAAGATTTAGAGCTATAACACCACTGTTAAAATAACAGGAGAGGATACATCATAGGCCTGAATGTCAGTTGTGTAATGACAATTTATTGGTCAAGTCATAGAAGAGGGTCAAGTTTTGTAAATTTCCCGAGATGAATTAAAAACGGTGTTTAAGTGTAATCGTGTTTTTTTTTTCTATTACATTCACAAACTTATATTTGGTGCTTCAAAGATTCCATCACATTTTCAAGAAATATCGCAGGAACATGGGGTACTTATGGCGCTTCCGACTGGTAGATCTAGTGCGGAACTAGTGCAATCTTTCCTATTTCTGTCTTTCTCTTTTACAGGTTGATATTGATATTGATACATCGAAGTATGAGGATAAAAGTAACCAAAAGAACGATGTTCCTGTCAAAATATCTTATCTGAAGTAGTCAATATTGAATCAGACAAGTTTTGATAAAGGACCAAACATATAGTATGACTTACCAGGACTGCCTAGGAAGACCGATGAGTACAGGACGCCTCGTCGCGCAGCATCCGATGCTGCCCGCGCATCCGGTGGTGACGACCATTCTCGTCGCGGACACCATTTACCTGTAAAAGAAAAAAAAACATTGAAATTAAACAGGAATTTGTGTCACAAACAACCACAAGGCAGCGTTGTGATGATGAGTAATTAGAATAATCCCAAGTTAAGAGTTTACATTATCAATATCAGGCAAAAGGTACAGGATTCATGTTAGTGACAGATTTGTAAAAAACAAAGAGGCTGCAAAATCTGAGTCAAGGTAAAACAAAACGAAAAAATTGTGTGTGTGTAAATTTGACATCGAAACACGATAGAGCTCTAAGCGTATTGGATACGGAAGTGAACGACAGTGACAGAGCATTTGCTGCTGTAGGCGAACGGTAATCGATGATAAACAGATGACGGGGGCCCCTCCAGGTTTAGTCAATAACGCCGTTTCTGTACAGCAGCGTTTGGCTGTTACATTTCTCCTGCAGACGGCAGCTTTATATATTATTATATAAAATGGGGGGTCCGTTGCTCCACTTTCATTACGACGGGATTACGGGCTAGTCCAAAGTCAACGGGTGGTCACTAAACGAGATATTACAACTTTAATAATTACTTCTCTTTTCCGTGTAACAATGAAGCCGGTAGCCGGGTACTGGATCTTTTTTTTCGCTGACTAATGGTACGGCTAAAGAGAAGAATATTATTCTGTGTAAACCATTTTATTTTACACTGATGCATCTAAGTAGCTGTATTTGTTTGGTGAAGATAAGATTAGAAAGTAAATGTAAATAGAAGAATTTTAAAATTGTTTGTGATGTCATTGTAGGAGAAAAATATAAGATTCCATTTATAATAGTAATGGATTCTCAATTTACCCGAATATCAAACTTAAAAATTGTATCATCGTGATCTGACAGATGATGCATTGGAGCAGGGCATAATAACCTTCAGTAAATATATTGTCAATGAGGTCCTAATTCGGACAGGTTAACAGTTGTTTGTTAGACTTTGTTTCAAGGCTGGATCACTTTTACTTTGCTTTTTCCATTGACAACCTCTTTATAACATGCCAATTCTTGGCTGGTAAAACGCTGGATCCGTCGTCTACACGGATCCAGTCAATCATCAGTTTTCACTACGGTATCCTACTGACAAGAAAAATAGACACATTCTCTATTCGCTTTAATGCTGGACTAGCACGAGCAAGTGTTCACACGATGTCCAAAACTGGAACGTTAGTGAGACGTTGTTTGTTTGAGTTTGTTTTATGCCTCAAACCTGTATTAATTACTTTAGTTTTTGAACAGTAGGTATAATGTTTCAAAATGAAAATTTTGCTAGTAGGTAATTATCGCATTTCAAAACGTGCAAAATAAACTTTTGGTGAAACCCAGGAAGGTGTGCGCGCGGGTTTTATTAAAAGAGAGCAAAATTTCCGGACGATAATATATCTTAAACCATTTTAATTAGAGCTCAGGAATTTTTAATTTAATCAAAACTTTGGAGCGCAGCAATTTTATTGAATAATTAAACGGGGGAGCGGTCCGAACTTTAGGCTTAATTGCGAAGTGTAATGTGTAGTTAAACAATTGCCGCTTCGAATAACAGGGAGTAAAATCAGTTAATTACCCTCCTATTGTGACATGACTTGAGTACATATTAGATTTGTTGAAGAATTCACAGCCCGAATCGATCTATATAATTCGAAACGTATTAGTTTTGATATTAAAAAGACCGTGAAAAATCAATAGCTTTTCTACGTCATAGGCCAGCGACAAGGATGGGCACAAAGATAGCTTCGTTTTCCACACAGTTTTCCATTTTCCAACTTTGTGAAATATTGCTCTGGCTCTGGAAAACGAACGAACGGAACGTTCTCGCTGTAGCCCGAACCAAGAAAATTTCCCTTTGTTTTTTCGGTAGAGGATCGTGCGCTGCCGGATTAATATTGCTGTGTTTTTCTTCTTAGTTGGAAGACGGCACAATCCGAATGATTTATTGCGAATGTATATAAAAGGGCGGATGGAGTTCGTTGCCTTTTTATATTGGGACGGGCATTTTTTTTTTCTTTTTGTTGCCTTAAGCCCGACACGCCATTTTCTTTAAATTGGTTTTGTACTCTCCCAAAAAATACGGTAATGTGATCTTAAACTATGGACGATAACTTATACTAGTGTATGTTCGCTTCAATGTTATCAAACTTACAAAGTTGTATTCGGCTTGTGTATATGTGTATGGTGTGTGTTGGAAGTGTCAGTTGCACCGCACCCCTCTTTCTGCTACTAAGTTTGGGTTTTCTGCTCCAAGCAGCCCCTCCAGTCCTAGGTCCTTGAGGATTTTTAAGATATCTAGCGGTTCCAGGGCTGGAATGTCTTTCAACTGTATAAGGGCACTTCCTAAGTTCTTCATCCTTGAGCGATTAACGGCATTGCAGTTCAGTAGAAGATGGTGAGGTGTCTCTTCTCTGTCTTCACAGAATCTGCAGATGCTTCTAACCTCAACTTCTATAGGTGTTTCTTAAGTCTGCAATGTCCCGAGAGAAACCTGGTTAGAGTCTTGAGACTTTTCTTGGTAAGGTTTACCAGCAGTTCTGATCTTTTCTGGTTGAAGTTACCCAATAGATTTTTGGCCTATCGTAGTTCTGGTTGTTTTAGCCATTGTTTGTTTCTTAGCCGGTTCTCTTCTTATTTGAGGATTTATTTGAAATACGGAGTAAACGTTCCCGTTCTTGCGAGTCTGTCTGCACATTCGTTGCCACCGACACCTATGTGTCCGGGTACCCAGAGGAGGGTTACTTTATTTTGTTTTCCCAGTTCATTTAGTTTCTGTAGACATTCCCATACTGTCTAAGAATTGATGACTGGGGATCTCGATGCTTTGATAGCTGTTTGGCCGTTAGACATATCATGTAGGTCGCATGAAGTTCCGCTTGAAATATGCTTGGTGATTTCCTCATTGGCTCTAAGTATCTGGTCCGTGGCCCGAATACTCCGGCTCCAATTCCCTCAGCAGTTTTGAAACCGTCTGTGTACCATTTGATGGTGACTCCATGTTCTATCTGTTTTTTGTACTTAGTTCGATGGAAAAGTTTTTCTCGAAACTGAATTTATCAACATGGTAGATCCATGAGGTGTCCACAGTTTGGGAGAGAAAAAGTTTTGTCAGGGTGCGTTTCCCTTTGTAAACCTATCTTCTCCAGTCTGAGACATGGTTCACTGATAACCCGCTTCTAGGTTTAGAATGACTTCTCATTGTTTCTGTTATACAAAGACATACGCGAGTCAATGCACTTTTCCTAGGGTTTTCCTAGCTGTTACTAGTCCGGCTATACCAGGGTTGCGATTTTCGAAACCATTCGAGTACATTTCGTACACGAAATTTGACTGCTCCCCATTTAATTTACATTGCAGTCAGTCAAATTTCGTGTACGAAATGTACTCGAATGGTTTCGAAAATCGCACCTCAGGCTACCGCTCCGTAGGTTATGATAGATCTCACTATAATGGTATACATTCATTTCAGGATTGATGGGTTACAACCACGAATTGACGATCTTCTAAACTCTTTGAAAGGTGCCCAATATTTTACAACTTTACGAGGAATCGATTTCAAAAACTGCATTTGTTACGCCGGACAGGCATTACGAATGCCTTTCGGACTTGTGAATGCTCCTGCAGTTTTCCAACGAACAATAAATCAAGTTTTGAGACCATTACGCTTCGAAGTTGCAATGGCATACTTGGACGATATCTTAATACCATCTAAGACGATAAACGAAGGTTTAGCAAGGTTAAGACTTGTACTAGACATTTTCAAAAATGCAGGCTTTACACTTAGGACAAGTAAATGCCATTTCATGCAAGAAAAGATAAAATATCTTGGCCTTGGGGAGGAAATCAACAAAACGCTTTTTACCCGCAATGTTTTTGCAGACGATGAGTGCCGAAATAGAATCTAGGCTTATTCCTAGGAATTTAATTTCTTTTTTTCCAATCAAGTTTTCTTCCATCGAGGCGAATGTTCCTCAAGTTTGGCAGTTTCGTTCTTTTTGTAAATGTTACCAGTGTGGTTTCTGCTAAGTTTAGATTCAGCCCCACTGTATGACCTATGAATTTAATCAAGAGCCGGTAACAATTCAAATAGTAATTACTGGTTCTTGATTGCATTTTGAGTCATGCATACTTAAAAACTACTTGAAGCGCAAATATGAAATATGAGACTGAGTCTTGATTTACCTCAGTTACGATGAATCGGGATTTGTCAAATAGGTTCCCATAATACAAAAAAACAATCAATGGTGCTTCACGGTGGCCAATCGAACGTATGCTTTTTTCTGTTGTTGATCCGAACAGTCGATCAGTCTTCTTTCGGTCGGTCTGATTACAAGATGCCGCAATGTATAAGACCGAGATGCGCCGGGTTTTAATTTGTTGAAAGACGTATACAAATAGAGCAATTTATTCGGAAAAAGAAACGGCCGAACGGCTAAATTTGTAGACCGGGAGCTTGCTGCGATTCAATGGCAGTCATAAATATGACGTGCGTATAGAGATGTCGCTGATCCCGAGGAGTTATTGTGCTCGGTTGCGGGGAACTTTTTTTCTTTGCGCCGACAAGTGCGACAGGATCGGACAATCACTAGTGGAGTAGGTCAGGAGTAAAACTAGATTTAAGTTGACAATTAATTGTCATTGAAACAATCTATATAGATTGATTAATCGTAGGATCAATATTCACTGAGTAATTATTTGTTAAACTTTAGCAGTAAGAATAAACTCAAGTACAGCCCTGTTGTCTGAAATAAACCAACTCTTGTCGAGCTTTTAAAATTCCCATAGGAGGAAAAACGTAAAAATTACTTAATTATAAATTTCTGCCATTTATTTTTAGTTTCTTGTTTCTCTCTTTGTCTTTTAACCGCAGGTATACGTCGTTTCACTTTTTTTTCGGCTCACTTAAAACGTATTTATTGTTTAACTTACAAAAGCTAGAGTTTTTTGGTTTGACGTATTTATGGCTTTTGACAAAACGTATCAGCATTGAAAATGATATATTGATAATTATTATTGGCGTC